TATATATATATCCTACTAAAACAATACACCCATTCAGCATGAGAGTCTGAGGCATGAGGATCACCATGAGTTGGAAGCCAGTCTAGGCTACACAGTGAGTTCAAGGCCAGCTTGAACTACATAGCAAGACTCTGTTTCAAAGGTCCTTTAATAAAAGGACCAAATACTTACCCTGGAGAAAAGACAGCCTCTTTGATGAATGGTGCTGGGAAAACTATTATCCACATGCAAAAGATTGAATCTAGACCCATATTTCTCACCATGTACTAAACTAAAATAAAACAGATCAAAGCTGTAAATGTAATTTTCTTCTTATTTCATAATATCTCATATACATTCTGATCCTTATATACACTCTCAGTTTCTCACACCAGAGAAATAATGTGATATTTACATGTGTTCCATTTATTTCACTTGAGTATGGTCTCAAGGTACATCCAGTTAGCTAGAAATATCTCAAGCTTGTCCTTATTTATGGCAAAGTAGCAATCCATTCTATCAAAAGAACATATTTTCTTTCTCCAGTCATTGGCTGATGGGCATTTGGGCTGTTTCCAAGATTCAGCTATTGCCAAACGTGCCACCATAAACATGGGTTTGCATATATTGCTGTGAAATGTTTTTAATTCTTTCAGGCAGATACCAAGAAGGGGAATAGCTGGGCCAAATAGAGCCTCTAGTTTTCATTTTTTGAGACATCTCCACACAGATTTCCACTTTGGTTGGGTCCATACTCCCACCAACCATAGAAATGCTTCCTTTTTTCTCAGAGCCCTGCCAGTGTTTGTTATTGGTCTATTCCTTGATAATAGTCATTCTGTCTGGGGTGAGATAGAATCTCAGCATTGTTTTAATTTGCATCTCCTCAATGACCAGTGATGTTGAACATTTTTTTCATGGGTTTTTTTTTTCTACTTCTTCAACTGAAAAATGTCTATTCATTTCAGATGCCCATTTTTGGATTGGGTCTTTAAATTTGGGGGGAAGGATGATAATTTTTATGAGTTCCATGTATATTCTAGATATTAGTCCCTTTTGTGAGGAACAGCTAGCAAAACTTTTCCCATACTGTAGGTTGTCTCTTCACTCTGTTGGTGGTTTCTCTTGCTGTGCAAAAGCTTTTAATAAGATGAGATTCCAGTTGTTGATTCTTTGTGTTATTTCCTGTGTAATGCAAGTTTTGTTCATAAAGTCTTTGCCTACACCAGTGTCTCAAATTTAGTGTTTTTCTGTTTTCATATGTATATCTTCCACCTATTTTAATTTTAGTTTAGTGCATGGTGAGAAGCAAGAGTTTAGTTTCAGTTTTTGGCACATAGAAAGCCACTATTTCCAGCACCATTTATTAAAGAAACTATCTTTCTTCCACAGGGGGTGTTTGGCCATAAGGTAGTCTAGTGTGTTTCGAGTTGTTTCTACATCTTGTGATCTGTTCCACTGATCTTTGGGTCTGTCTTCTACCCAGTACCATGCTATTTTTATAACAATAGCTTTGTAGTGTGATTAAAAGTCATGGATTGTGATGCTTCTTGATTTGTCTTTGTTGCCCAAGATTGCTTTTGCTATGCTGGGTCTCTTCTGGTTCCCAATAAATTTTAGGTTTTTTTTTTCTTCTAATCTTATGAGATATGTTATTGGGATTGGGATTGGGATTCCATTAAATCTATGTAACAATTTTGGGAGTATGACCATCTTCACTCAGTTTATTCTTCCTACCCAAGAACAAGGGACATCTTTCCATTTTATTTTTCTTTCTTTCTTTGCTCTTCTTGTTCTCCTTTTTTTTTTTTTTTTAATGAGCTAGGGTCTCACTACACAGTTCAGACTGGCTTTGAACGCTTTTATGTGGCCAAGGCTGGCCTCAAACTCATGGCCACTCTTCTACCTCAGCCTCCTGAGTATTGGGATTGCAGGTATGAGTGATTTTTGGTGTTGATTTTGTATCCAGGTATATGACTGAGGTTGGTTATTTTTTTTTTTCTTATGAATTGTTTAATTTTTCATCAGCCTCATTCCCATTTTGCTTAAGCATCAGAAGAACAGCTCAAGGCCACTCAGTGGTGGTTCCTACCCATTCAGTGGCCTGCACGGTGGAGGCTGCAGATCAGTCTTCTGTGGCAGGCTGAGCACTCCAGTCTTCAGTAGGGGACTGCTGAATGTGCACAGAGGGCACCTGCATGCCCTTGGACCAGTCAGTGGCCTCAGGCTGAGCAGCAGTGAACTCCAGAACTGGTGCAATCCATTCGCCCTGAAATTCCTCCTTAGTCACAGCCTTTTCAGCAGCAGCCTGCTCTCCTTTTTCAATCTCTTCAGGATCCCAGTAGAAGTAGAGATCAGGCATGACTTCCCATGGGTGTTCATGGGAGATGGTGCCACACATGTGCAGCACTTCTGGGTGAGCATCCACCACATCAGAACCACAGAGTGAGCTCCCTTATTATTGCACGGGATGGCAATGTCCACATAGCGCAGAGGAGAATCTGTGTTACACAAAGCAATGGTTGGCAGATTGACATAAGATGCCTCCGTTAGGGGCTGGTCATCAGCCCTGGGATCAGTAACCACTAGAAGATGCAGAAGGCTGCCTGGATCTGTTTAGTGAAGGTTCCAAGAAGTGAAGCGGCCAGCAACAGGAGTAGCTCCAGTGGCAGCAGCAAAGTTCAGCACAGCCCGCTGGCCGGTGCTCCTAGAGGAAATGACGCTGACGTCAGCAGGGTTTTCAAAGGCCACTATGGCTTGAGCTGCCAGGAGGAGCTTCTCCCAAGTCCACTTTAGATTTATGATTTAGATTCCATCATTTGTCCTTTTATAGATATACTGCTCCATCTGGAAATCCAAGTTGGTGCCACCTAAGTGGGTTCCTGCAGCAAGGAGCTTGAGGACGTCCTCCTCCTTCATTTGCAGGACATCAAGGGCTCCGGACATTGTGAAGTTTTCCTTTAAGTTACAATGGCAATCAAGAACAATGCTGTATGGACCCCTGCCTGGGCAGTATGGAAAGGTGACATTGGTTCTTAAATCTCAAAGTATTTTTGTGGACTTTTGGGGGGTCTTCAGTGTAGGTCATCTGCAAATGATAACTTAACCTTCTTCTTTTCCTCTCCTTATCTCTTTTATCTTTCTCTTGTCTAATTCTTCTGGCTAATGTTTGCAGAGCTGTATTGAATAGGAGTGGAGACAGTGGTCATGCTTGTCTGGTTCAAGATTTTGGAGTGAAAGCCTTCAATTTTTGTCCATTTAGTATCATGTTGGCAGTTGGTTTGTCATAGATGGATTTTATCAGGGTGAGATAAAGATACTCCATGGGGAAGGAGAACTAGGTAAGGGAGGAGGAAATGAAGGAAAGGAAAAGAAAAAAATGAGAAAAGAAGTAAAAATGGAAACAAAACTTCATAAATAAGGATGGGAAGAGGGACTGAAGGAAGGAATAAGGGGACGGGAAATAAAAGAATTGAGATAAGTCATGTATAGGTGCACAGTCTCTAGGATGAAAGTGATCACTGTGTGTATTTAAAATGTACCAATAAACTTTTTTTTTTAATTTTTTTTTTATGTGTGTGTGTGTGTGTGTGGCCAGCTCAGCCCACCAGGGGGCGGGGCTGGCTGGCATGTGGTGCTGGGGGATTGAACTGCGGTCCCTGTGCTTTGCTAAGCTTGTTCTAAGTAGGTGCTTTAGACCACTGAGCCATCTCACCAGCCCCTGTACCAATAAACTTAATTAATAAAAAAGATCTAAATATTAACACAGAACATTTAATCTGCCAGAAGACAAAATAAGTACAACTGCTGAAGACAAGAATAAGAAAGGACTTTCTGAGCAGAAACCCAATTGCACAAGAGATAACAGTAAGAATCAACGATTGGGAAGATATCAAATTAAAAAGCTTCTGCACAGGAAAGGAAACAGCAAACAGAGTGAAAAGACAACCTACAGAATGGGACAAAATGTTACCAGCTACTCCTCATACAGAAGACTAATATCTTGAATATATAAAGAACTCCAAAAAATTTAGACTCCTGAGGGTTGGCCTGATAGCTCAGGAAAGCACCTGCTTAAGCAGAGCGCAGCAGCCAGGGTTCGATCCTCGGTGTGTTGTGCTGGCCCCACCCCTGGGGGCACGCAGAGATGGCCATAGAGACTGGGCATGGTAGCGTGCACCTGTAATCCCAGCACTTGGGAAGCTGAAAACAGGAGGATCATTTGTTCTAATAGTGTTTGTAAATAGGATCTCAAGTCCGCATCTTGTACAGCAATTAACCACTAAGAAGAATGTATGCAGTGTGTTAGTTATTGAAACTGTCCTAGTGATTTGATTTGAAACTGTCTCATTGCTATTTGTTTATCAATAAAATTATGAAAAACAAACAAACAGGAGGATCGCTATGAGCCTGATCTTCATAGTGAGACCCTCTACACCCTGTAGACCCTGTCCTAAATACAGAAAAAAAAAAAATTAGACTCCTCCAAAATCAAATACCAAATCAGAAAATGGGCAACTGAAATGAATAGACCTTCCTAAGAAGAAGTACAAGAGTCCCATAAATAATTGAAAAAATGTTTAACATCACTGGTCACTAGAGAAACACAGTTTAAAACAACACTGAGATTCCACCTAACCCCAGAAAAATATGGCCTTCATTAAAAAATCAAATAATGACAAATACCGACAAGGCAGCAGGGATGTGGGAAAAGAGCCCTTCTACATTTTTGGTGGAATATCAGCTGGTACAACTGCTGCAAAGAGCAATATGGAGATTCTTCAAGAAGTGAAGTAGAAATTCCATTGGGCCCAGCTACTGCCCTTCTAGGAAACTTCCCCAAAGAGTTCAAGACCTCACATTACAGTGGTGCCTGCATGCCCATGTTTTGTTTTGGTTTTGGTTTAGTTTTTGGCAACACCAGGGATTGAGCCAGGGATTGCCAGGCAAGCACTTATTCTACTGAACCATGTCCCCGGCCCCTTGTGCCCTGTTTATAACAGCACAGTTCATAAGAGCTAAGTCTTGGAAGCATGCCATAAATCCACCAGCAGAGAAGTGGAGAAAGAAAGTGTACAATGAAATACTACTCTGCTAAGGTAAATGAGAGTCATTGGTAGGAAAATGGATGCACCTTAACACCAAATGTTAAATAGATTAAACACACAAGCTCAAATGTCACATGGGTTCTTTTATATGAGGAACCCAAAGTATAAGCAAACTAAAGAGCAAAATAAAAGACAGATAATAGGAAGCAGGGAGCTGGATCCTTGTGCAGAAGGGAAGGGGCTCAAGAGATGGGGGAGGGCTGAAGATTTAGCTCAGGGGCACAGCACCTGCCTGGCAAGCGTGAGGTTGTGAGTTCAATTCCCGGTACAAGGGGTGTGGGGAGTGGAAAGGATGGGAAGGGAAAAGGAAATAAAGAGTTAAGGTGTATTATGCACATGTACAACTCCCTATGAGGAATGTAATCATTATGTACTGAGAAAATGTAGTAATAAAAATTAAAAATATATTAGGACCCTACAAAATATATCCCGGTAAATATAACCAATATATTTGCTCCAAATATAATAGAAGCAAAAAGAGGAATTACTTAGCCATCAGGATTAGAGAATAAGATTATCTACCAGTTAAATATTGAATGATAGATCATTCATATGATTGACATCAAGGAAGGAAATAAAATAGTATTTTATTCCACCCCCTCCCCCCTCCTCAAGGAAGGAAAACTATAATACTCGTGTATTTAGTATACTATAGTTCTCAACAACCTTACGTGATCAATATCTTCATCTACCTCAGAAGCTCCTTGTCACATATTATTTATATGAAAGTCCATATCTTCAATATGTTTTTGGAGACCAAAGCTGTGGATTAAATTTAAAAAAAATTTTGGAACCACTAGGAAGAACGTATGCAATGTGTTCATTATTGAAACTGTCCTACCAATTTGTTTTGAAACTATCTCATTGCTATTTGTTTCTCAATAAAATTATGGGGGAAAAAATTGGGGCTGGGTAGATAGCTTGACAGTCTAAGCACCTGCCTGGCAAGCACAAGGCTGAAAGTTCAAGTCCCTGTACTGTATGCCATGTGGACCCCAGAACCCCAGGTGTGCCAAGCGGGCCACTAAAACTGAGCATGGTGGTGCACACCTGTAATCCCAGCACTGGGGAGGCTGAGACAGGAGGATCACTAGGAGTCTGAGCTGCAAAGCAAGACCCTGTGCCAAATAAATAAATAAATTTTTAAATGTTTTTTATTGATAAAACTTTTTCCTAGATACTTAGTAAATCATTTTTTTATTTTTTTATTTTTT